AGAAATACTCAAGCCCGTAGCAATACTGAGAGGTGGATTCTGGGAAGGGTAGTTAAGGTCTGTGGACCCAGAACATATTTAGTTAAGACTGGCTATAAGACCAGATATGTTCATGTTGATCATTTAATTAAAGCACATGATCAGGTGCCACATGAAACTAGAGAGTTGGACATACCTGTCCCAGAACTGTGTGAGCAACCTACTCTAAGTGTAGATAATAGCCAAGTTTCATCCGGGGTGCCGCAGCCACCAGTCACTTTTTCAGATAAAGATAATGAGCCTAATTCTAGTATTAGTGAAGAGAATGTAAACACACCATCGCCGGTTGTTCTGAGGCGATCAGAGAGAATTAGGAAACCTGTTGACCGACTGAACCTGTAGTGAATGTTATAGCTACTATTGTGTTACTTGTAAGGATATCTTATTTGTAAGGGGAAAGCAGTGTAATATATTAAGTACCCTCTAGGGTTACTGAGTATGTATCCAGAATGCATTGCCGGAATAAAGTTGTGTTGAAGCGGCCAACTTGTCTGACCTCGTGTTCACTAGCAATATATTACAGTTTCCATCCTGCAGCAATTCTTTTCCTACCTTCCAAAAACTGGAGATAGTGGTGATGGTCAGCTATTCTCTGGTGACTAACTAACAGTAGAAAGGGCAGTTAATGTAATTTCCTCTGTAGCAAATGGTTTTACCCCAGAGGATCGTTTAGAAGGCATTAACCTTCAGTTGGGTGATTGGCATGCAGCTGTGAAAGTTCTAACTGTAAGTCAGACAACTATTAGTAGCTGTATGTAGTAAGGGCAATAAATAATTTATTATTAGTTTAGATTAACTTTGTCTAATGAATGTTTTTTTTTTTAATGCAAGTTTATCTGACTTTGGGTTTCTACCTGCCCAGAATGTTTTTACTCAGGCAGTAAAAGACGATAAGATTCATAATAGCAGTGATATAAACAGTAGTGCAAGGCATTCTGATCTTAACCATAGTAAATTACAAAATTATCACAATTATTATTGGAATTTTCCCCTATGTTCACCTGATACCTATCAAACCAACAAATACCAATCATAAGTTACTTGTTTCAACAGTTAATATACTCCTGATTCTTCAGTAGCAAGTCAGATTCAGATCTCGGCACCCTTTTTCCAGACCGCACCCTTATCAACTGGAGGAATGTAACTGGTGATCCTCATTCTTCTTTCAGAGCAAATGGGGACTTTCTCCATGTCATTTTCCTGTCACAATGTTATCACAGCTGCATGACAGTGTTGGGATTTGCTGAAAAATCAAGTGCCCCAGAACACTACCCCCTGCCAGAAGACATGGAGAAATTGAGAAAAGCCCAAAAACTTGAGTACCTTTATGGCATCTCTGAAAAGGAGGTTGATTCTTTCATTTTCCAGTCAGAAGAACAAATACAAAAACTAAAAACTGAAGAAGAGATAGACATTTTGCAGCAGCAAGAACTTACTGCTAAGGGAAGATTTCCCAGCAGATTCCCTGGATGCAACAAGTCATTCAAGTACAATGGCAAAACCAGAAGGAACCATGAACTGTTTCATCATCCACGTGTTCAGTTTAAGGATTCCACGATAATGACTCAATCTTCACCTGAATGCACAGCCCTTCAAAAAGAGACAAAAGCAGGTGATGATGTATACAACTATAACTGTGCAATTCTGGCAGATTGCTTTTTATTTTTTAATTTTCTTAACGCTATTGAAGAAGGGGTTGGAGAACGAATTGTGCAGCAATACAAGTACATCATGCTTTCTTGTAAGGCCAATGGCTCACATAGCACCAAGTATGCACTAGAATGTTTAACTCGGTTTTTCTTTGTGTTTGCACTGTTGTCGCAAAGAGACAGTAAGCAGTTTGTATGGAACCGCTCTGTAAACAACAGTGGTAAAAAAGCTGCTAATATCCCAATTGATGAAGACACGGAACATGAGAGCAATGCCATAAAGCAAGGCATTAGAAATATTGGGCCTAATGTCACTAAGAATGCTGTTCAAAGAATATATTTTGCACGACGTCCAACAGCATCAATACTGAGCAACCTGAACAGTTGCCATCAGGCAAACACTCTCATGGAAATCTGGAAAGGGACTTAAATAAGCTCATCAAAAGAGCATTTGAATTTAAAATATTCAGTGAGGTCAAGGGATGCAGTTACAAAATACTTAACAGCTTCCAGAGAGACAGACTTGCCAATTTGGATGTGTCTAGTTTGCACCATTAGCTGAAAAAACGCAAGAAAAAAATCATGTGGGGAATAGGGCAAGATGAACATTGACAATAAATTTAATTTGCAAATTAACCAGAAAGCTTTACAAGAAACATTTTGTACTTCAACTGATTTTAATTACTGAGTGAAAAAAAAAGAGCCATTTCTCTTTTTTAGCTGGTGGACAGTTCCCCCACCCCCTTTTAAATATGGCAGGAATCAATACTCTCAATTTTTTGTCACTTTTGAAATCAAGACAATTGACTTTTTGTCAACACCTTTGAATATACTGTCTCTGGGAATAAATTTTGTAGGATTCTTTGAAGGAAAAATCCAAACTCACTTTTGCAATATAACACGGCTATCATACTTAGCAGTGGTACAGTTATACAGATAAAAAATGGAACATTTCATAGGCACTCAAGTCTCAGTTTTCCTTTAGGAATAACCATATAACCTCTTCCTTGTTAATGACAATGTTGTTGTAGCTTTGTACAATAGAATCTAATTTGTTGAACCCTCAGTTCCTTCACCCTTCTGATAAGATAAAAAAGGACATTCCAGGCTGTCTCAGAAATGAGAAATTGAAATAAGAGGGATAAGATTTAGATTTAATGTCCCTCATAACACAAACAGACTAGTTTTCAGGGCTGTCACTAATTGCCAGGGGCTGGGGATTTCCTCCTGTTACTATAAGCATAACCATTGGTTATTTTTTGTAGGAAACAAAAGGAAAATGAGACCAAAAGGACTCCCTGGCTGTTCAGTTCCCCAACTACCAACTACATATACCTAGTAACTTGAAATCTTAGTAGCAACCCTGAGTTGGATTGTCATGATGATCTGCAACGGTTCAGACATTGTTTTCAAACTATATTTTATCATCAATTAATCTTGCAATTGGGCACAGATTGAAATAACTATCATGGTTTAACAAAAGTACATAATAATGACTTTCATATATTCTTAACCATTTAGTACATAATAAACTTGCAATTATCATAACCAATGGTGTTGTTATTGAAGTCAACATTATTAATTAAGGTTTCTCTGCTTCTTAGCTGGACTTTGTAAATTTCCACCATAGTGTAATCCCGTGCATTGTTTTTCTTCACCATCAATTGTGCTACATTGGTAAAAGTTGTCATCTTTTGCAAAGATGGGAAAAATCTTCCCAGAATAATCATAGATGTTTGTGAAACAGTTACCAAGTACTCCTTTACTTTGAGTTCAGGTCAAAGAATGCAGATTGTTATCCTCTAGGACAAGTAGCTTCAAGAGATCCAAGAGGTCAACAGAGGCAAAGTCATTTAATTTTTGTTTGGCAATGTATGAGAGAGTGAGCACACTAAGTTTCTCCTTTTCAGTGAATTCTTTCACAGAATCACTGCATGTTGTTTGCAATTGATTTTCATCATCCTCTATGTCTAAAAAAAACTCTAAATGTTATTTCTGTGGTTAAGATGAGCTATAATCATCATTCAACATGGATGTTAATGTAGTCATATTGCATTGTTTATTAGTACAGGTTAATGTATTGGTTAATGTATTCTTCATCTTGCTCTATAGGTAGATTTTTGTTGCTTAAAGTACAGTATGTCTTCCTTTTTACATCACTTCCAGTACACTGTCCTTTAACAATGTTATGTTCTAATTCTACAATGTCAATGTTTATGTTATGAATGTCATCAATTTCTGTTATTGTAGTTGCTTTGTTTGTATTGACATACTTAACATCATCAAATGTGCAAACTGTGAGATTTTTTAAATTCTCTCTTGGCTATAATGTTTATGCAACCGATTGAAGTTTTGGCGGTTGCCATGTTGTTCCTTCAGGTACAACGGAATCCGATGAAACAAAGAAGTCAGTACCCCATTAGTTGGCCATCTTAAAGGCAAATAAAAAGAGGAAAACCACTTCTGATGTATTTGCAAAGTTTGATAAAGTGTTTGAGTCCTTTGCGGAGTATCAGCAAGTGCTGACAAGAGCTTCCTTGAACCTGAAGCGGCAAGAGAGAGGTGAGAGGAGGAAAGAGCAGAGAAACAAAGAAAGTAGGATCAAGAATTTCTCCTGAAACAGGCGCAGGTTCTTCACAAGTAAAACCAAGTAAGTACCTGCATCACTTTCCATTTCGGTATTGACATTTTGTGCAAGCTGTTAAAAAAAATTAGAATAGCTTATGAGCAATTTTGAAACGTTCATTCCTTTAAATTATATTTCTTATAGTTAATTTCTGAATTATATTGTTAATTAATTTGCTGTTACTTATTGCTCAAACTGTATAGCTTGCATTTTTTTGTGGTTTTATCTCGCATGTGATTGGTAAATACACAATTAAAATGTCAAAGTCAAAAAATATTGAAGAGTTCATGAATTTTGGATTCACATAGTACATGTAATAGCTAAAATCTTTCTTTAATTAAACTTGCATGACCATAGAATTTCTAGCTACAACAACTTTATAAGCAAAATTTAAAACAGGTCTGCACAGTAGTTCATGTTAGTCAATAAAGTTGTAGCTTCTCTGATGGCTACAGCATTCCTGTTTTGTCCTTGGTTTGGGTCGACTGGGAAAACACTAAGATGGAGCTGCACATCTTGCAGCCACTCCTCATTTAAGTTCTCACCCATGACTTCACAGAAGTTGTGCAACACACAACAAGCAGCAATGACAAGACAAACAGTCTCAACATTGAGGTCCACCCTCTTTGCAATGCTTCTGAACCTACCCTTTAGCCTTCCATAGGCATTCTCAACCACTACTCTTGTCATGTTGGGGATCTTGTTGAAATTCACTTGTTCTCCATTAAGTTCCCATTACTGTAGACCACTTCATTAGCCAGTCACTGATGTGGAGTCTCCAACTATCAAGGGCGGAACTCTCACACCTGATATGACTCAAGATAATTGAAGTGGTAGGAAAGTCCTCCCACAGCAGTGGGAAAACAGGGGTAAATTTTTAAATAAGCGTGCGTTGTGAACTTTTGCCGGCCATCCAACAAAACTGTCAACAAAACGATAATTGCTGTCAACCAATCCCTGCAATGTTACTGCCTGGAATCCTTTTCAATTCACATAATCTTCCGGACTTTGGAGAGGTACAATGACAGGCACATGGCAACCATCAAGAGCGGCCACTACTTGGGGATGGAGACCTGCTTTCACTCCAAACTCAAGGTAAGCTTGGGGCTCATTGAAATAGCTAGTGCGTCAACAACAATACAGATGATACAAGACATCTGCATTGGAAGTATCTGTAGAGTTGTCTCCTGGCAAGCTTTGGACAACTTTCCGCATTTTTTCGGCTTTCTTCTCTCTGTGTTTTCCAACACAAAAGCACAATATTTCGCCCATCAACCATTTTGCTTACATGTTGTGGCTTTATGATGTTGTAACATTTCACGTCAACTACACTTACATGAGTGCGAGGCCGAACATGAACATGAGGCTGCATTGTTGTCAGCTCTTGTTGTTTGCTGTGAGTGGGTTGATCAGTTAACCATGTTTAATTAAACATGGTTTCATTAAACTCTGTTTAATTAGACATATTTTGATGGTGTGAACATGGTATAAGTTTGAAATGCAATGTTAAAGTTGCTGTGTTTGAAATACAATTTAAAAGTTGCTATGTTGCTGTTTGAAATTAAGTATTAAAGTTACAATTCAGCTTTCCTGAACAGTTGTGGAGTTGCTATTTACTTAACATAATATATTATATGATTAATTGCTTCTGGTTACAATTGGGTTATTCCATTTTATCATATCTGCTCCCCCTATACAAGAAACTAGTCTTTGATTAAGAATTAGCCTACACAAGTCTATGAACTATATATAATCTCCTAGATATATGCTGTCATTGACTGCCTATTTTTTAGTATTTCTAGATCCAAAGGCAGATGAGAGTGACCTACAAAATGTACTTATGTTTGAGAAAGGTATTGAGTTTTTTGTTTACATTATGTACCATCTCTTTTGGAGAGGAAACAAAAGTGAAATAAAATTACTATTATCATACGACTCCACAGGTTCTCAAGCTGTTGTGTTATAAGTAATTGTTGTTGTTAATATAAGCTTCTAGAAATCTCCAGACTGCTTAGTCATGCTGATACGTGTACCAAAGAACTTTCTTCAACATTTCATCAAGTCACGCAGTTATTATGTAATACTACTACACTGGTTCTTTTGAAATGTTCCGGAACACATTATGTGGTATTTTAGGAGTTGCTGCTTGTTAAGAATATCATTCTTTGTTTTATAAAGTTGCTGAGTTTGTTGTTTTTAATATAAACTTCTAGAAATCTCCAGACTGCTTAGTCATGCTGATACGTGTACCAAAGAACTTTCTTCAATATTTCATCAAGTCACGCAGTTATTATGTAATACTACTACACTGGTTCTTTTGAAATGTTCCGGAACACATTATGTGGTATTTTAGGAGTTGCTGCTTGTTAAGAATATCATTCTTTGTTTTATAAAGTTGCTGACTTTGTAGGATTGCAGATTTTTTCTGTTGGTTAGATTATACAGTAACAGATGTGCAACACCACTGTTGTATTAAAATGAATATTGGTTTCACCCTTAGAAAGAACACCAACCAACTTCATGCAACTACCTCTCCAAAGGTTGTCAGTGATTTCTTTAAGAAAGGCATCTATGTTTATGGAGAAGACACCACCCCTCTAGAAGAAAAAAAATACTTCCTTTCAGACATGTCGATTTTCAGCTTTCTAAGATAAAAAACTAATCATCTCTATGACAAATCATACTGATGGAGAGTCTCAGGCACAGGAAAACACAGATGAAACCAACCTGGTACAAGGATTGACACAATGCACAACTGTGGCTGTGTAACACAATGTGATAAAACACCAAAACTTCAGTAAAAGAGGTGAAATAATGATCATATCCATTGCAAGTGTCGTTGTGGTGTAGAACACAAAAAATATAACCAAAATTTTAAATTAATGCATAACATTACTTAAGTATGTTACCAAAGTCCATTCCCAATACCATTTTATACTGTTATAAGAGTATCACATTGTTTTCCTCATCATGTATAAATTATTTTTCGCTTTATTAAAGTAAATGTTTCACATTTTCCCTACTCCTTTGTTTCAGTTCATCGATAAAAATTTGTATTTCACTGTTGTGTTCATAAAACGTCTCAATCCAACACACTAGAGTAACCCCAATCCATCTGAGAGTTTCCGTATTTCTAAAATTACCTTCACCATACTCTTTAATTTTACAAAATAATATTACATTCTTTTTCTTTTCATGACAGTATCTTTTTCTAACAACAATATACAACCTATTACCAGCATTCTGCATGCAAGGGCAGCTTTAGTGATAACTATTACTGATAGCTTCTTTGATGTTTGACATCAGAGACAGAAATGCACCTCACAGCATTCAATAACTCAAGATATTTGTGAGATCCATTTTTATAACAACCAATCTTCTGCCTCTAGTAGCTTTTATAAACAAACCTGGTCAATGAGGAATGTGTGAAGTTGAGTGCATGTCTTAAACAGTTTGGAGATCTCCACAAAGTGATAAAACTTCTCAGTGGAGGATGCTTCTTTTAATACAAACTAATTTTGATGCAAGTCAATTTAATACTTAATTTTTATGACGAGCCCACAGGTAAGAGTTTCAGACTTGCCAATTTCAATGGGCAGGAGGTTGATCAGCTGGTCGAACTAAGAAACGTGGAGAAAACCAAGAAAACAACAAATGAGTCTATATCAACCTTTCTAAATGAATAATAAATACCAGCAGTTTGAGATAATAAAACTGCTCTGGTATGGGAAGCCATTTAAATGCTTTTGGCAACAAAAACTGTAGTGAGTGAGTTATGCAAAGTTTCTTTCCTATAGGCCTTTTTTTTTTTAAATCAAATACAGAAAGTAACAGAGATCAATTTTTATCAGTCATTCTCCTGTTCAGTTTCAGCCTGTTGCTCAAAGAAAGCTACACAAACACCACTCAAAAACATGAAGATTGGCCAGCTGGACCACAACCTGGGGCAATTTTGCACTGAAGCACAAAAGGGGAGCCACACATTAAATCCACCTTGCTTGGATCCAGATAAAGAATTGAAAGATATCTCAGCTCTTCTGGATAAACACAACTTTTCAATTTAGACAAAGCGGAAAGGAAAGCATAACCCACAACCCTAAGCACCTCAAAAACCTCAAAGCTAGAGATATCTTAACTCATTTTTCGTCACTTTCCCTTGAGAAATGTCTGCTTACCTATTGTCCTTTTCTCTCTCTGGAAAGGCTGTGAGGGACAGAGAGGTCTGACAACCAAGAACTTTAAGTTTGGCAACTATGCAACTGGGCAAAAGTTTGCAACCATAATCAAGCTTCAAAAAATCATCCAGGCAGTGCCAATGACAAGTCCAGTAAGGAAAAGAAACTTGTACAAACTGCAGACCAATACAGTGGCTGCAAAGCCATAAAGCTTTACTGTAAAAAGATTAACCAGAGATGCAGTGCATTTTTTCCTGTAGCCAGGCAAGTTTCAGTGTTGAAGATGGTGTGGTTTAAGCAAAGGCCAATAGGCATCAACACACTGGCAACCATGATGAAAAAAATCAGGGAAGCAGCCTGACTGTCCAAAATATACAGAAACCAAAGTATAACAGCGACAGCCATAATTATGTGGTCCAATGAACATATGTCATTATCTTGGCAATGCTGGTCAGTTACCACAGAACAATCTGCTCTTAATCTTGACCATTCAAAATTATTCTTCTCATTCATCGTACATTAGAAAAATTTGCAGAGGAGATATTAACACAGCTGTGTTTTTATTCACTTATTATGCCTTCTCCAGGTTTCAGTATGCTTTATGCCTTACTCAATGTTACAAAAGAGTCAAAAAACAAGTCAAATTCACAGAACTGACAAGCAAAAAAAGCATCCCTCAAAGGCCTTCACAACAATCCACATCCATCACCAACAATGATGACACTGACTATTCCCCACTCATTAAAGATAATCAGCAAACAACATTCTCACCTGTGATTTTCAGAGAGCAAGCCTCTAAGTGGAGAAAAGGAAATCATCTGTAGATCTTCAAACAACAACTTACTTGCTCAAACTCATTTTAATACCAAGATTTGGGATATTTCTAAAATGCAAACATGAAGCATGAACTCTGAGTTGCAAGCCTCCCACACACCCTGATTAAAGATCTAATTCTTCTTGCAGACATAACAAGAAAGCAGGCAAATCTTTGGATTCAGGGGCTGCGATGCCAACCAAAGAGGCATTGAGAGAAGCTCTGTCTTGTGCATAGATTGAGACTTTTATCCTTTCCATTCCATAATTGTTTTGTTGATTTCAATAATTGTTAATTTCTGTTTTTCAGCTAGCATATCATTGTTTCAATAATTAGGATAGTCTTTCACTAGCTCGTGCTCCTAGTTTTGCAAGTCACAAAGCATAGGAGTTGCTGAGTCATCAGGCATATTTGGAGAATCCAGGCATCTTTCCTTGTTCTTCACCACCCAGAGTTAAAATCAGATGTAAGTGGTTTCTGTTTGATTGGCCCAATTTTTTCTATATATCATTTTGTTTCATACTCTATCATAAAAAAACAATTGGCTCTTTCATTTGTTATTTCACCATCCTCTTTTATCTAAAGCCAGATTGTTAACAGACGATCACTTTGCTAAGTTGGTTTACCATCAGTCGCACTTGGTGCAGATTTCTTTTTAGAAGTCTTAAAGTTATGCAATTATGCAGCTATATATTAGGAGTTATCAATTTTCAACCTACTAATACTACTACTACCACTGCTTCTGCTTCATAAATAAAAAGTATTTTGAGTTGAAAGGATAACGTTTTTGATGTGTCATCACAAATCAGCTGCTGACATGTCACTTGCCTTTTGCGCTACTCTTCCAGGTTGATGAATGAAAAGCAAAACCTTCACCATTCACAATCCATGGTCATTTCTAGCTTTACATCTGCTAAATCACTTACAAATTTGTATCACTTACAGACGCTGACATTCAAAATTTCCTTGAAGAGGAAGAAAACTAAAATATGCTAAGAAAAAAATTGGAGGTACATGTTAATGGTATTTCCTGGGGCTTTGAACATTGAAGATTTGCCACAGGGCTATTTTAGCTGCATACTGTATTTACCTGCATGATACACACATTTTTTTGGAAAAATAACTTTCAAAATTTTGGTGCATATTACACACAAATCTTATTGTTTGACATGTGCCTCCTAATTGGCATACAGTGACAAAAACAAGACTGTAACAAGCTCTGTTGTAATTGGTCTTTGTTAACTTAAGTAAAATCATTTACTAATAAAAATTTTCAATTTTGATCCACAAATAAATTTAGTTGACTATATAACAAACAGCTGATGAGATAAACATCATGATTTCTCTCCATCAATCTAGAGAGACAAGAACTACAATGTGGCAACAAACCTTACCACTGAGAATTGTCAGGGCAACACAGTCTCTGACAAGCTACAAATTGTCGAGTTTGTTAGACAAAATGGAAACCATGCTGCCAAACATAAATTTGGTGTGTCAGAGAGCCATGTCAGGCTGTGGCAAAGAAGTAAAGAGGATTTACAGAAGATATCTCTGCTCAAACGTGCAAACTGTGGAAAGCAAGCTGTGTGGTTGGAGTTGGAGATTGATCTGTTGGCACAGATTACAGAGAGGAGAAAGAATGGCTTAGCTATCCTTCTTTCCTTTGTTTGAATGAAAGCACTTAGGCTTGCCAAAGTGGAGAAATACAACATTCCTGTTGGAGTGTCTAAAGGCAGCAATCACTGGTGCCAGGGATTCATGAAGAAGAATGGCCTTTCACTTCAGCAGAAAACCATATTGGCACAATGACTTCCCAACGATTCTGGGGAGAAGTTTGCACTGTTTCATCACTTCATCATAAATCACCACAAAAAACACAACTACCCTCTGCACCTGATTGCTAACATGGAGGCTCTGCTCACATTTAACATCCCACCAAATTGCACAATCAACAACACAGCTGAGAAAGCCTTAAAAATATGCACATAAGGAAATCAGAAGAATTGTCTTACAGTTGTGTTGCCCTGCTGTGGAAATGTTTAATCTCACCTTTTATCCACACATGTGAGCGCTTGGTCAGTGATAGGACCTCTCACATTTTCAGACATTTCTCAACAATCTCACTCTATAATCTGATGAGTGTTTTAGCATTAGATGACCCTTCTGCAACTCTCCAACTTAAAATCAAAGAAGCTATTCACATTCAATGGGGACAACCTTCAATTAATCATCAATTTTATCATGTTAATTTAACTTTCCATGTACATGTAATTGCATACATTGTTTGTTTCTATTGTTTGTTTTGTCCAATGACCTTCGTTATACACTTTAAATTCAACTTTATAGAAATTGGAACTGAAGATGACAGAAGAACTGTCAAAACATGTTTTTAAAAAGTGTCGTATATTTCCTTAAACTTGTGACATATCTGCTACTATCCAGACCTGTTCAAAAGCAGTTGCCTTTTCTCAGAAAGCAAAGAATTATCTGTTAGACATGTTCTGGACATGGAAGAAAACTGGTAAGAAGGTAAATGCCTCTGAATTGGCTTCCCAAATACAGAGTTTAAGAGTTGTTCGTAACTGTAATAATTGCATTAGACATTAAACTTATAAAGAACATGATAATGAAGTCACTTGGACAAAGGTACTTTTCTGCACAAGAGACTATGCACCACTTGTTGCCATTAAAACTACTCAGCTCATCATTTAATGTAGTTAGCATTAGTTTGGATGGTTCTCACAAAATTCAAACAAATTCTACTGAGAGAAATGTTGGAACAAATGATTCACTTCTAGATGTTTATGTTAAGTGTGCTATGTACATTGAAAGTATTCCTGATATTATGACTTTAAATTTCTTAATTTTACAACCAAATATAAAACTGTTCACAGCAAACTGACACCTCAGTCACCCACAGGAAGTTTCAGTGGTAGTCACCAACAGAAAGTCCTCACTTTGAGTTTTCCCAGTTTATTCTTTGAATTAGAAAGGGTCAAATTCTTCACTTTACTGTAAATATCAACTGCTTACATATAAACCCTGGCAGACAACCCAAGACAATGCTTGGGGTGATCAGCCAGGTAATGATGAAATATGTCACAAAATGGAAAGAATTTCTGGAAACTCCTTATGCTGAAAAAAATGTTCCTAACCAGCATGACAAGTTACAAAGTGCTCAAAATTACAGTGATGATGACACAATTGCTCAAGAAACCACACAAGAACTTCCTGCACATGAAGAATGGATGCTCTTATCAGATCTCACTCCTAGATCGTTTGATACAACTGATCAACTACAACAAATTGTTGACTTGCATTATAACTGCCAATCAGACAGACTTAAATATCAAGAAATTCAAATAAGAGAAATGTCTTCATGGATTAAAACCAACAAAGAGTCCTTCACTTCAACAACTAGGACAGAACAAAATATAGATATCTATATATCTAAATATAGTGATATGCAGAAGCATGCTTAAGATATTATTAAGGGGCATTCAGAGCAGCCTTATCCAAAGGATCCATTATTGCTTATAATTATTGGTGGTGGTGGAACAGGAAAAAGCTACCACATTAATACTGTTAAAAACCTACTTCAACAATAATGTGCAGTGACAGCCACAACTGGCAAAGCTGCATTTAGCATAGATGGTTGTACTATCCATTCACTATTAAAACTTCCTGACAGTGCAAAAGGCAACAAATATTTAACTGGGCAAAGCCTCATTAGACTACAAAATATCCTAAAAGAAATAAGCTATGTTATAATTGATGAATACTCAATGTTAGGCCAAAAATAGTTTCCTGGGTTGACTGACAGTGCAGGCAACCTACTGGTTTAACCAATCAACTCTTTAGTGGAAAGTCAATTATATTAGTCTGTGATCCTAAGCAATTACCTTTGGTAGCAGATAAGTCTTTTTATCACTCTAAGCCCTCCAGTACTCGACAAGA